GGGTAAACTTACAATTAAGCCCCTTAACTTTTCTTTATTGCTAATTGTGACATTTTACGCATGACTTGAATGGGATTAGGGATGGCAATAGATTCTCACGAGAGTGGGAACCTCTTTCTCATCTCCATCCTTATCAATGATTGATATGAGAATTTCCACATGATTTTTGGTGGGATTAAAAATAACCTCTGTCTTTATACCTGTAAGGATGTGGAGTCCTTACCAAATATTAAATATATAAAATTTAATCTTATTTTTTCTTAATAAATAAAAAAATAAAATTCAAAATAACTCAAAAAAGTAAATGCATTAACATACAGTACAATAAAACAATATCCAGTAACTAATTGCAGTAAATATACACTATCATACACGTTTAACATATTTAAGAGTAAGTTTATGAAAAAAAAAAAATACATGAACTGCCATACATGTGATTGGATTGGATTATTGAATTTGGTATGAGAAGAATGGAATTGAAAAAGGAATTAGGCTGGACAATTTGGGTTGAGTTGTATTAGATTGGATAAATAAAAATTAATTGATAATATATTTACAAAAATATATATAAGAAGAAATTCATATTTTTTTATTATATATAAATTCTCGTAAGTCTTCACATGAAGAAAGCAAATTTTTGCATAATTTCGTAAGAAAGACAATCTCCATTCCCGCCTCTCGTGGAAAAATATTTTTAGAATTTCCATTCTTACAGTGGGGATTTTTGTGGAACTTCGTGGATCTCGAAGAAAATTATCACCCTTGATGAGATGGATTTGGAGAAGAACTTGTTAAAATGTAGGACTGTTATCAAGTTTTTTGGGAACCTCTTGTCCCTGTTCCCAAAGTTTTGAGCATTTTTTTGGGCCCATTATTAAGTTTGATTTTTACAATTTTTGAAAATGCTGACTAGGAAATTCCATGTCAAAGGTTTTTGCTGATTGTGACAAATGTGGGTTCCACGAATAACTTTACTCTTCTGTTAGTACAAAGAAAGGAAGGAAAACCCTTTCCGCGCCGTCGCCGGGGAAGAACAAGAATCGCGCCGCCTAATTGGAAAAATTCAAGACTGATTCGGGTCAGCAACTTCATCATAGAGTTGATGAAATCGGTCGCTGTTAATCTGCGCCGTCGCCATGACCTTCGCACTCCATGGGGGTCAGAAATTGCAGACCGAGAGTTCTTCCACCTGGTCTCGTTGCGGCTAAGCGGTGCATTGCGCAGTAACAATTTCGTGATTCTCATCTACATGACCCTAATGTTCTTCCTCATCCTGGGACTCGTCGTCTTCACCGCCTCGTTATTATCGTGATTTGGTGACTGAGGATGCCACTGTAAAGGAGGTAAGTTATTAATATTTTTTTATTTATATAT